TCAATTTTGTTTCTCATAATTCTGCAGTTTATCGCTCTCCTTACGAAGAAACGTAACTACATTACAATGTTGCCAAATTTATTCTTGCGTACACGGAGAAAAATCTATGACTTTATAAACCAATTGGTGGTTCATATGGAACACCACTAATACAGTTGTGATTGAACTCATGATTCTCGGTCTGTGAGCCATACTAAGGTATCTCGTACCATCACTAAGGCATTTGCGCTAATATTATACGTTGCCTTTACTACTATTAGTGGTGTTTTATATAATCCACCAGTTGGTTTAAAAGTCAAAGCTTTTTCTCAGTGTATTGCACCATTACCAGGAGAATCTTCGGCACCTCTGACTGAAAATTTCACGAAATTTTCCTTTAATCTCACGGAGAAAGCAGAGAATTTTTGGGAAAATTTGCGTAACTACATTCTTGTAAAAAATTTGAATCCTTTAAGTCAATTTTAGAACCACGGATGAAGTTACGTTCCCTCGACGAGTTAAGCGTACTCATCTCTGAGTAACATTTGCAGTTTCAAAAATGTCTGAAGGCTCGTCAATTTCGAAAAAGAAACTTGAACAAAAATATTATAAGGGAACTATTCTTGTTCTTTTTACGTAAAAATGCACTTGTATTCCCACGGAGCCACACAGAATATCCGCGTGCTACCGTCGCAGTTGCAAACTGTGCAACATTTATTAGCATTACTAAGCGAGAGTTTCTTGATGGCGTAATGACGGTATAATTGAAGATACAGCGTTGAATCACCGCGGTTGAAGCGATAATTTTGACAGGATAATTTCGCGATCGGTGTACTCGTGATCCATACCCCGGCCATTTAGCCAGCCGTCTTCTCCGCCTCTCAGATCGGGTTTCAATGTGTACAACGGAAAAATTTAATCGTCGGATTTTCTGTTCACATGTCGATGGCCAAAGCACGGAACCATGTCTCTTCATGTCGGCGTTTCAGAATTTCTGCTCTAATTTTATTTGTTCGAAGAGAAAGAAGCTAAATTCATACCTTGAACTCTATACGGAATATTCTGCTGTCAGATAGAAAAAATTAAAAACTTTCACAGAATTTACGTTCACTAATTTTCCAAAGGAAAAATGAAGTACACAATAATCACAATGACAATTATATGGGGCCTCCTCAAGAGAAGATCTGTTTGAGGAACAATTGGACCACATTTTGCAATTGGGACCTAGAATTTCTGGCTCATTCTAGAATCAGCACATGTGCCTTTAGTTTCCCTGAGTAGATGGGTGTTTTTATCTTTGAGCCAGAGCTTGTAGTTCTTTATTGCAAAATGTAGTCCAACTCTAAATACGCCCCTAAGTAATGACATTTTCTGAATATACAGAGCAACCAATGTCAAAAATACGCCCTTTCCCAGATAAAAGAACGTAACTACATTCCAAAATTGCAAAATAACCCAAATGATTCAATCCATGAACAGATTTTGACCGTGCAGCTTTGGTCTAAAATTCAGCTGATTTTTACATGTAATCGGAAGAAAAATTAGCGAAATTTTTAGCCTGAAACGCTCAATAGTTGCACAGTAAAAATACTAATGGTGGCAAGAGCTTTTGCTTTGTTGAAATGTACTTACCAGTGCTCTCATTTCCCGGAACTAGTTCCCAATTCCGGAACTTTTGAGATTTTCATGAATTATTCCTCAAACTTTTGATTTTCCAAAATGTTTCGGATCTTTTGCATTGTCCGGAACTTTCTCGGAACTTTTGAAAGTATCTAAAAGGAGTCCCGTTCCTGATGACAGTCATGGAATGGGAGACGTTGGAACAAAACAAGTTCTGAATCCCGGAACTTTTGACAGACATGAAATGGAAGCACTGGTACTTACGCTCTATCGTCCGGGGAACGACGACTTAAGAGATGATCCGGGCGGATCTATGAGTATCAGTGCTTGACTGGATGAAGGGGTTTAATTCGAGCCTGACGCGTCAGTCCGCGGCCCAACTGACAAAAGGGCGAAACTGCAAACTAAGACGAGCCCTGAAAAGCGTTGAGTTGTATGGAGTAAAGGGTTCATTGGAAAATGTAGTTACGCCCTTTTGCCAGGAGAACGACGTGTCGTGAGCCGAACCTGTGCAAACATCTCCGAGCCGCGTTTTGCGCGACACGATCGGAGCGAACGAGCGCGACACCGGCTTAATCTACAGACGCAGCGTGAATGATCGATTTTCGATACTTCCACATTTGAAGTTATGGTAAAAAATCGATTATCAAGGTGTTCGTTGCAAACATTCTGTCATTCGATCCTTTTCCACTGGTTTAAACGGTAGATCAAGCGGTTTATCGCAAATCACGCCACGCCACTGAACGAAAGCCAATGTGCATCGCGTCGTATCCACCCTCCATCACCCCCTCGCTAAGGAAGAACGCCGTATGAGCCGAGCCATCAGGAATTGCCAAATCTTCTATCGTAAAATCACGAATTTTCAGGAAAATTTGGAAATATTTCTCTTCCAATTTTTTAGGGGATTTCGTTCGTAATTTGATGAAAAAAGTCTGAAAACTTCAAGGAAAATTATCATAACTTTTTGCTTCAAATATATATTATTTAAAAGGAAATTTGGCAACAATCGAATGCTCATACGGCGTTTTTACTTAGCGCGGCAGATCGCCGCGACCCAAAGCGAGGATCAGGATCCCGCCAAGTTTATCCCGCCGGTCAACCCGTCAAACTCGCACTGAGATGTCACCGTCCCTCGGGATTAGGACTTCAGTCCATTGAGGCGAAATCAGTATAGGGATATTTGCCCCATCGCACGTCAGGTTGAGAAACCGGATCTTTTTCCGACAGGAATCTCTCCCTATAAGCTCTGTGAGCTGATTATTGAACATGATAGACAAAGCGATGGACAATGAAGGAAAAGAGAAAATTGAGTGAACCTATTGAACGGATGAAACAGATGTTGTTTTTTTTTGGACTACGAAGAAAAATGATAGACTTACCAGAGGGTTAGTTCACGTTAGTTAGCCTGTGATGATTTATCTTTTTTGACTATTGCGCAACCACCCACTAGAAAAAAACCACATATGGATCTAGAGTCCAGACTCTTGAAAACATTGACGAGAAAAAATACTCTTGATTCAATCAGATTTTTGTTTAAATCAAAAGGAAAATACGCTCCAATTAAGAGGCTTGGTTCTTGATTTAAGCAAAAATCCGATTGAATCAAGAGTATTTTTCTTGTCGATGTTTTTAAGAGTCTGGACTCTAGATCCAATGTGTTTTTTTCTTCCAGTGCCCGTTTCCTCCAGTAAGATTTCTCTATTTTCTCCTTGCCTATGGTAGGTATTGTATATCAATTTCTATAATTAGCCTGCTGTTTTCCCGATCAAAATTTTAAGTTTTAAGGTTAGAAATTGGCAGAAAAGGGCGATATTTTACTTAATAAGTCGACTCTGTGGTAGAATTATCCCCCAAAGCTAATGGCGTTTCACTTGAAACAACCACGAATACGGGTTTGAACTATGTTTTTTTTTTTAAATATCGTCATCGGTTGCGCATGATATTTGGCTCTCACTGCTAAGAATGGCAGTGCTGTAAGGTTTTGTTGAAGAATTGCGTATTCACCAAAATGTGTTTCTTGCCCAATCTCTCCGACCCCAATCTTGTGACCGTGGTTTATTACAAGAGATGGTACATAAGACATCCGTTAATTTTTTCGAACTTAGGTATGGAGAATGGGCCAGTAGGATGTAAACGCGCACTACTTAACGTGTTTCCCCATCAAAATTTCACGTAAAAAACGAATCACACAACGGGAAGTCTGGAAATCGATTCAATCATAAGATATAAGTCCTTAAGTAACATTGGTTAAATGGTGAAAAATACAAATGACGTGGCGTGCTTTGCGATGCATCGATTGGTCTGTCATTTAAACCAATGGAAAAGTATCGATAGACAGGAGGGTGTTCGCAGCGAACACCTTAATAATCGATTCTTTACCACAGGATTAAATGGCATATCAATCGATACATCGCAATTCACGCCACGCCACTGCGAAATGACGTCATTTGTATGATCTAACTTCCATCTAATCCATCTACAAGTACTTGTAATGTCTTGTTCAGGGGTTAATTTCTGAGCTTCTCGTTGTATGAATCGTTGTTTACGCAAAGTGTTGGAGAGGAAGCATGTGACTTTTCTCCTAGTTCAGACTTTGTCAAGTACTCCATTGACGAAGGAATCAAGTTTTTTCTTGTTTGCTCAAAACTACACGTTTGGCGGTAACTATCTTCGGCCTATCTTCACACAGACTACATTTTGCAACCAGGGACTACATTTCCGGTTCGGGTTAGAAACAACGCATGTACCATTAGTTTCCCTTAAGCTGATTAAGGAACAATAACGCCTATCAGCAAACTAAAGAGTTTACGGAGCAAAGAAAAAATTTAGCCATTTTTGTAACCATGAGGTTTGACTTGCACTTTTTCAAACTTTATAGCGTCTGTTCAGTGCTTTGATGTGGAATTGGAAAAACGAAAAACATCAGCTTGCTAATTTCCTATACTGTAGAATGCGACAAAGTTGTTACCTCATTTTCGCAAAAATTTTCAGCTAGGCGGATTCGTTCCTTTGCCATTTTGCGAAGGAAGAACGCCGTATGAACATTAAAGAGTTGCCAAATTTCCCGGAATAAAACATGTATTTTTGAAGAAATGTATGTTTACTTTTCCTTAAAATTATCAATATTTTAGGTTTAATTGCGGAAAAAATCGTTTCAAAAATTTGAAGAAAAATATTCAGAACTTTCCCAGTAAATTCGTTGGTTTTTTAAGAAAATATGGCAACGCCTTAATGTTCATACGGCGTTTTTCCTTAGCACGGTAGCATTGCTGTGGACATAACTATTTTAACGATTAGACGGAAATTGTGCTTAAAAATTGCAAAATGCAGCCCAAAACATTTCAATTTTTCATTTTTCTACAACTTTTACTGATTTTTGTCTGTGTTTTGTCTGATTTCAGCTGTGCGACATCTCGGTGCGTAACGGCGCTGGGTCCCCGCCCGGCGTGAGGCCTGCCATGGGGCGGAAGCGGGCTCCGACCTCCAGGGGGATCTCCGGGGGGCGCCCGTGCTCCTCCCCCTCCGCCTCCGCGTCATCAGCACCCCCGCCGCCATCGGCCGCGTCACCGCTGACGTCATCAACCCCCCGCCCCCGCCTTCGTCTTCCTCGCCCCGTCCCGGTCTCCGTCGCGTCTTCGGTTGACCCCCTCGGTGCCCCCCGACCCCGTCGCGTCTACGCCCAAGTGCCTCGACCCCCTCCCCTACTGCACTAGTGCCCATCTCCGCCTCCTGCCCCCCTCCCCGCTTCGCCGCCCGCCTTTCGTCTTTCTCGCTGGTTTCTGAGGCTTCAACTCCGCCATGTCTCTCCTCAGCGTCACAGGTAAAGCCTACTTTTTATTCCTTCTACAGTGTGCTATAAAAGAACTTTACCGAGAGTGCCAGATTTCATCCCTGCACGGAGAAAAAAACCTCGTGCGTGGGACCCGAAGTTTAGGTCATATGGATCTCTGAAGTTTTTAGATTAAACATCTGAACACTCTAGGTCTAACTATCGAGATTCGGATCACATATCTGAAACTTAAGTTCTTACATCTGAAGTACTTCAGATGTTTTTCGTATGTGAGAACCGAAGTTTTTCGTATGTGAGAACCGAGGTTTTTCGGATGTGAAAACCGAAGTACTTCAGATGTAAGAACTGAAGTTTCAGATGTGTGATCCAAACCTCAGCAGCTGGACCATAAGTTTTGGATGCTCAATCCGAAAACTTCAGAGATCCATATGACCTAAACTTCAGGTCCCACGCACGAAGTTTTTTTCTCCGTGTGTAATTTTTAAAAATTGCGACTAAGATTCTAAATCCTGTGAGTAATCCTAGGTCAATTTGAGGCTCATGTCCCGACACTTTTGGGCCCAGGTCAAAATCTGAGGTAGAATTGCGAAACACGTGGGTTTTCTGCTATTCCGCACGAAACAGTTGAAAAGTTCCGATATTAAACTTTGGGATCCGGGACCATGTTTAGGCCCCCTTTTTTAGCCAAAAAATTTGAGTATTGGCAAAAATTTATTATTTATTTTAAATATGCATCGCCAACTGCCAAATATCCAATAATTTCCCGATTCCGTGGAGGGACCGATTTCCGCCCAAATCGCAACCCTTTCTTGGAAAGAGTTTTGGCATAGTTCGGCTATGTTTTTTGTTCGATACAGGGAGAACAATTTTCTGTGAGATCTATGAAATATGTTACTCGATCACTCCCGAATGAGAATTTTAGTCGAGTTAACAGGACATCAACATCTCCTCGTTTCAAACGGTATCTGTTTTTTCAATGATACACCCGATTACTTCAAGGAGATGTCTCGTTGACTCAACGGAAATTTTCACCCGGAAGTTATTAATTTGAAAATGTTTCCAAGTGTACATGTTGGGATTAACAAACATATGACTGATACTTAGGGGCATATTTCTTAGTTATTTCAAACCCTTTACTACTGTTTCGTCATTAAAGTACCATTCAATTAGCGAAACGACGGAAACAGACTTTTTGAAGTGCATTAAAAAGTAATGAACAGTTTTAATTGCTTCGTGTATACTTAACTGTCAGAATGCAAGGTAACAGCTAGCAATTTGTAGACCCACGAACCTTTGCGTGTTAAAATTTATTGCCTAGTCATAACCGCTCGAGCCAGAAGTGAAATTAGACTCAGTTATTGAAAAATGATTTATTCAATAACAGGGTCCGTAGCCTTTAGGAATCCAGGATTAAAGAAAAGTAGCTCACTTTTCTGCTTTCTTTTTGAACAGCCAGTTGTCTCACACTTCAAAAGTGACAATTTTTCTTTCTAAAATGCAAATTAGATCCTTTTTACTAAACTTAGTCCATTTTTACTTGTCAGTCTTTCAATAAAATCTTCCCTCTCTGAGAAAGCTAAATCCTAGTACTATCCTGAAAACTCAAATGTCATAGAAACACATGTTTGCATTCATCAATTGCCGAGCGATTTTGAGGGAGTTAAATTGAAAGAAAGAGTATACTTATACTTTAGGACATTTTGGTGTATTTCTGTTAGAACTTTGCATTTTTAACATTTTAGCTTAAAAGTTTTTGACTTTTGAAATTGTAATAGTTATTTGCCGTTCTAATTAAAAGTTGGTAATTACGATAAGGAAAAATATGAAACTGTGTAGTCCAGTAATAATAATTTTTTCTTTTTGTTTGTTTCAGTGAAGAGAGCTTGCATCGTTGGAGTTGATGGTAAGCGCTTCTTTCTTTCCTATTCAGTCGTAATAATAATTAAACATTTCTTTGCCCTAGCTATTAAATTGAAGAAAATAATCGTCGAGGAAATTATTGTTTTCTTGCATGGAATCCAGCAACTGCCGAATTTTTATAGGGTGAGTTTCTTTAGCGAAGCACATACGGGTTATCGAGTCTTTTTGAATAAGAGTATTGAGTCCATATAGGGAAGGAGAAGATGAGAATGAAATAGAGGAGAAGGAGGAAAAATAATAACAAAAGAAGAGAAGAAAAAGATGCAGAAAAAAGAAAAGAGGAAAAGAATACGTTAAAAATGAAAGAGGAGAAAAGTATGATAAAGAAGAAGATAAAGAGGACGGGAAGAGGAAAAAATGGAGAAGGAGAAAAATATGGTGGAGAAGAAGGAGAAGAAAAAGAAGAGGAGGAAGAGAAGAGGCACAAAATTAAGAAGGAGAAGAATACGAAGGTAAATTAAAACAGGAGGAAAAGGCAAGAGGAAGAAGACATAGAAAAAGAAGAAAAAGAAGGAGAAAACACTGAAAAAAGTAGCTTGGCTCAAGCATGATGATTTTTGAATTTGCCGCAAAGAATTTGTTTTATCTTGCTTTAAGCTGAATTTTTCTTGATACAAGAAAAATGATGCTTGGGTTAAGCAAAAAAGTAGTTTATATTACCTAACCAGCAAAATTCTTGATTTAAGGAGAAATACTTCTTGGCGGCAAATTTAAAATTCTTTTCTTTTCAGTGAAGGAAGAACACGAAGGAGAAAAAGAGGAAACGTAAGAACAAATAGAATAAGGGGAAGAAGAAAAATAATAATAAGGTCTCTAGGTCTTGATGAAAGCCCATACAGTCTTCGGATAAGATGAAAGACAACCCTGCCGCGGCGGGTGAGGGCGGGGCGGGGGTGGAGGGTTAAAAATTGAGCGGGGTGGGGGGTTAAAAATTTCAGGCCAGATGGCGGGTGGCGGGGCCCGGGTCCGGGGCACCGTTACCATCGCTGGCAACGATTGAAACCATTCATCGGCCAATTTCCTTCCCCCTCGCCCACCCCCCTTCCCCACGATCAATATCAAGGCAAGTGTAACGAACGAGATAAAGATAAACGAGACTCGAGCGTTGCCCGTCCTTCCTCCATTCCAACGGTGGAACATCGCATCCCGTCGTCACCCTCGCTGCCGCCAATGGGAACGATTCCGCTAATAATCTAAAAAGGGATCTCAAGCGGATTATCGAGTCGATAGTCGATTCAGCGACGGATACATTATGGCGTTTTTACCGTTTTGCGGCTGGATAATCGAACGTCATCAACCCTAATGTGACGGAGACGGGTCATTTTGTGGCTCCTCTGACGAAAAGGCACCTGAGCCCCGAAAAGTATAGGGTTATACGGGGAGCAGAGCTCAAGTGGAAATCGAGGTACGCTCTTGCGTCTGACGTCAGAGGAGCGACGATTCTGACAGGAGTTTCCGTATTCCGATTCGAGGGACGATGCAGGAAAAGAGGATGAAGGAAATGGAGAGGAGAGAGAAGGGAGGTGAGTAAAAAGGAGATGAATCAAAGAGAAAGTTAAAGATGAGGGAAAAGAAAATCTTCCTCCTCGTCCTCAACTTTTTTCTCCTCATCTTATTGTTCCTCTTCTTCCTCTCTCTATTGTTCTCATTAAAAAGAGAAAAAGAAGTATGAAGTATGATGGGAATCTTCGAACAAACGAAAGTGGATCTGAAATTTTATATTTCTTGAGGTAAACAGGCCTGAAAAGTTGATAAAGCGAAAGATGAAACTTACTAACTGCCAAGCAGCGTTTTTTTCAGTTCGTTTTTGAATCCACGATGTAAAGAGTGTTAACTTTGGTTATGTCCCTCTGAATGTTCCAATGAGAAAATATAGAAGGAAGGAATAGAAAAATAAATACATGAGTAAATGAACGAGCAATTTCACTCGAAGAAAGTCGAAGAGCCGGCGATGTAAGGTTGTAAACTAACGAAGAGTACATCGATTTTTAAACTGAACGAAAAAAGAATAGGTAACTCGTTTGCGAAGTCGGACAGTATAAAAAGCGCTAAGATAACATTTTAGGCCACTTCTGGCAACTTCCATTTTTTTTCAATTTAGTAAATTTGACTGAAAATTTGAAGTTTATGTCATAAAAAACCCCTGGCACCTATTTTCATCGAAATCGATCGGACAGAAGCCGAGATGGCGTATTAGGCCACACCCACCATTTTGGATTTTGAAATTTTGAAAATTTGAGTTGAAATTAAAGTTGCCCGTCAGAAAATGCCCCCTGGCACCAAATTTCACAAAAATCGATCGAGCGGGACTCGCATATCGTACGATCAATAAGACTCTACTCAGTGGTAAACGCGGCACCACGCACCAGTCAATTTACAAACGTTAGGGCGCCTTCAATTGCGCCTGATACTGTGCAATACTTCCGTGGTGGAATAGTTGCTCAGGGCGCCTTTCAGATTATCGCCTCGAATTGATTGCAGAAGATCTGTTCTTCTTCTCTTTCTACTTCTTTTTTTCCCTCTTTTCTTCTTCCAGATTTCTAATGTATCCTCATCTGACCTAAGTTAGGAGTTCTTAAAGCTGAAGCCATCAGGCCAGGGTGACGCAACTCTAACTACAACGGGCTTTTTAAGCAGAATCCGTTTATTTTGCGGAAGAATTTAGCCGAAAATAAGTCGTGAAGTGACTTATCATCGCTTTTCTGACGAGAGGCCGTATCTTTATTTCCACGTGGGTCCCAAAAAGCATCGAGTTATACGGAGAGTAGGGCTCGCGTGGAAACTGAGACACGTCCTGACGCCGAAGGAGCGACGTTATCACCATATCAAAAGTTTGGCAAAGAACAGCGAACCGTTTCCCGTGCGCCCACATCTAAAACGAACTTTTTTTCGCGTGGGAAGATTTAATTTATAAGTTCTCCTCTATGTTTTCATTGAATTAACACAAGTTTATGTTACTACTTTGATGCAAGCAGATTAGGAAGAGCAGAAAACGAAGGAAGCGGTGTAACCTGCATCGACCCACTTCCCTTGTTTTTGGCGCCAAAGTCTAGAGCTTGAGCGTCCCACCTGTCCGAAAGGAGCTTTAAAACGTCGAGCGTCGTTCTGCACGATTTCAATTCGGTGTACCATTCAGAGGGCTTTTTAAGGGCATGACATTTTTCCGTGTCATTGATTGATTGATTGCTTGACTTCACTCGCATCATTTGAACAAATTCACGTTTTCGAATACAAATTACAAAATTTTCTTTTAAAAAGTGTTCGAAAATCATATTAAAAGAGGGATCGCCAAAAATTCAGTTGAGCAAATTGTTTACAGATTAATGTTTAACTATTGTTCTTTAAAATATGTTTGGCAGATTGCAAATTGTGGCGGGAAATTTTATTAAGTAATGGCCAGCGTTACGCGGCATCACGTGGTTGGGGGGTGGTACCTATAGAGTGAAGCGTTACGTAACGAGTGTAAGTGATTTATTTTCGAGTTTCTGTAATATTTTTCTTCTAGGGTCTTAAAAAGCTTCAAAGAATTTCAAAAATATTCTCTGCAACTGTTTCACTTTTTGTCACTGAGTGTAAACGTCAATCCATTCAGTAAATGTAAAAAAATATTTAGAGCATTTTATATCGAAATGTGGGGGGAGGGAGGGGGTATAGGCAAGCGTCACGTGATTTTATAGGGGAGTCTAGCATAGCGTTATGGAGCATTAACAGGAGGTTGAGGGTGTCCAAAAGCAGTAAATTTAACGTTACGTAATTAGGCACGGCCCCTCTAGGCGAATTTTATTTGATGTGTGGCTTAACGCGTTCCTCATCAATCATTATTTGGTGAGAAGTAGCTGTGATTTCCGAAATTTCGCCTTACTTGAATATATTCCTTACATTTTTTATGCAGAGTCTCTGGATTCGTCATTTTCCTCACGAAAGAACATAACTACATTTCAGTGCTACCAAATTTCTCCACGCCAATTGCATCTTTACCCGGAGAATCATGGGCATTTCTAATTGAAAAGTTTCCCAAGTTTTTTCTTTATCTCATGCAAAAATTAGCAAAATTTTGGACAAAAATTGATTGGATACATCTATGTTGAAAATTGAGTTGTTCCAGTTAATTTTGCAACCGTGGAATAAAGTTACGTCCCTTCGTCAGGGAAACGACAAATTGGATTGCATTTTACAAAAAGGAACCAAGAGCATTGCAATGGGTGCTAAGATTGTGCAATTGTGCAATTCGTTTTGTCTTGGAAGAAAAACTCGGATCATCAAAAAATTTCGACGGTGTAAGTCGGAAATCACATAATTCGGTTTGCGACGTTGCAGACTTCCTGTCATACCTTATTTTTTAAATGAGAAACTACTCAACGGCAATTCTTTAAAACTGCCGTGATTTTCCTTCTCTGCGCGAAGAAAATTCTGCAAAGACTTCAAGGAGTGATGTCAATTTGTTCTACTTTAAAAAAAAAAAAAAAAAAAAAAAAAAAAAAAACATAGAGGCTTTTCAGACACCGCAAACGAGTTATGTGATTGCCGACTTACACCGTCGATTTTCTATTCTACACGCTAAAATCTGTAAATTTAAGACAAAAATTACCATATAAATTTCATATTTTTGCATGACTACCGTAGTTTTATTGCAAAGGGTGAAGTTGCAAAATCTTAGCAACATGGCATTGCTCCTGGTTCCTTATTGCAAAATACAGTCCAATTATAATACTCGGGGCCCCTCTTTCTGTGGTGGATCCTAAATCTCTAAAAATTTCAACTTTCTCCTCGGAGTATACCTACGATGTTTTTGCCGTAGGAAGCGTGGGCGTGTGGTATTTTCGCGGGGGCCGGAACAAGCGGGGGCGCTCGGCAATATGGCCATTAACAAAGGGCGAAAGTCGAAGGAACTCCCTGCCGGAAACACCGCGCCGCGAATAAATTAGGCACCTCATTAAGCTTCCCGCTGAGGTCATTGCTCGCGTCTCGTTAACCGGAGACGCT